TGCATAGTAAATCCTGATTATTAAATAAAAGATGGACAGGTATCACTAATTAATCATATCTGTCTATATCTTCTTATGGAAAGGCTGGCAAATTTTGAACAACTGTTTGCACATACACACATACACACACCACTGCATACTGCAGATACACATATACTTTCATATTCAGTTATCTATGACCACGAACTTCTAGTTGAACGTAATCTGATAAAAAGTACACCGCTTAAATTATTTAACAAAAGTAGACTAAAATTTCTACTGAAGTTAAAATTTGTACGTCTAAGGTCAAATTTTGATCACAACTCATACAATTTTGATTATTCGGAGTTCATCATGAGTTGACATTACTTATGAAAATGTTGATGCTTGTTTCATATGCTTGGACAAAGTTTTTAAAAACACGATATGACTTTTTTATATATAAACCTCTGTTATGTGAATTTTTATTAATTTTCTTGAAGAAGTTCAGACCAGCTTGTCGAACAAAACGTTGGAATTACTCGTTTCAATTCGGCTGAGATTTTACAAATATAATTTTAAACATAGTCAAGAGAAATACAGGTATAATCCTGGTGTATAAGACAATATGAATGCTTCAGGAAATAAACCAACGAATAGGGCAAACTAGACATAGGTTCAAGGTTGAAAATAACAACAATAATGATGATTGTCAAATAATAACGATGAAGTGGAGTAAACTAAAAAGTACTATTGGTGAATGATTGTCAAATAATAATAATGAATTTAATGAAGTGAAATGAACAGGATTTTGTAAATACGATAACATGTTGAAAAAGCACTACTTAAACCTAAGGTAATAAAATCATAAGAAAGGTCATAGAAATCATAAAAAGTCAAAAAATGAACGTTAGTCAATGAAACAAAGGAATAGAAGAAGAAAAGAAAATTGTGATAATAATTCAAAGTGGTAATGTTTATGGAGAATTTGTTGGCCTTATTGTAAGCCAAAGTAAACATAGCGGTTGAACATACTTCTATATACAAAGAGTCGGTCTTCTGGTATTGATTTCAACCACTTCAGATACTGATAGAAGACGTAGTCGAGGTCCTCTAGATAGATTAACAGGAACGTGGTAAATAACTGAGAACGCATGGTCAAGTTTTATCGAGTGTCCAGTATCTACCAAGTAGGCTAAGACTGCACTATTTACGCATTTGGTTACCCCTTTACTCAACCATACAGGTACATTTTCACGCGTGCGCATGGATAAGGCCGTCTGAGTACAGTCAATCCACATGAGCAGTTGAATTCACATGTACACATTGATAGGGCCAACTTTGGTAATTTACCCTTGACTAGTTGTGTGGGTACTGGTTTAGTTGAGAAGTTGAGTACCAGTTTATCTGCAGGAAATGTTCTCTCTACTGCTCTGTTAAGTTGACATTTCAGACTATCAGCTACAATTTCCCCTTAGCAACTTAACTTAAGATACAAAGGTTTCTTATCTACGTATCTCAAGGTATTGAAATATGATTTTAAGGAAGTTAAAGATAAGATTCCGCTTTTGGAAACTTCAATCTGTATTTATAAATTTACTTGCGCGTGTGTAGAAAAGTATATCGGCCGTACGCAACATCAAGTCCACAAACGTAGTCTGGTTAGCCAAAGAAGAAAAGATCTTCAAACACCTTGTCCTCTCTGGACATCGAGCACCGCCACATGAATGCTTCACAGTGCTACACAGAGTCCCTCTATATCGTACAAAGGGACTTCGCATACGCCATCTGTACATAGCTGAAGCATTAGCTATTCTAGATCTGAAAGCGGACCTCTGCATTCAAAGGCGATACATACATTCACACACCCTACCGTGGCCAGAGTAAATGTCTTACTACAATTTCACTTCTTATCTTTTTATTACGTAAGTTGAATATTATTATTGTTATGAATAATATTATTTTATTATCATTATTATTCCCATTACCCATATTTTATTACCACTCTGTTACTGTTTATTAATAAAATTGCTTTTTCATACAGATTTCATGTAAAAACACTTTATCGCCTTTCCACTAGTTCCTGTCTATTCTACACTATTTTACTGATTGGTCATTATCTCACACTTATCACGTCATGCCAACTTCTGCCTCTTTTCTAACTTACAATTAGTCATCCATTCTAGTTTACACCTTACATTATGTAATACATTTTTCGAGGACAACGTTTACCAGTATCTGATTGGTCTACAGATTTCTTTGTTAAGTGTAATTACGATTCTACAGCTCATAAAAATGAATCGGCGAAAAGAAAAATTTTTTCTCTGTTTACGCCTTTTTCTTATCTTCAGAAGCATTGAAAAGATGATGTCAAGATCGCAGAGGATATGCAGTAGACTGTGCAGAACCGGAAGACGGGCACACATGGACCACAGACTCTGGAAGATCTTGATTTCCTGGACGACTTACTTCTAAAATTACATAAACTCGAAGACTTTCACGTGAAAGTCAGGATTGGAAGCAGCGAAGATAGAACTTCAATTGACAAAGAAAAGATAATGTAGACAACTACAGTGAACACCAATCACATCCTTCTCTTATTTAGGTATTATGGTTTCAACTGCGAGCGGTGACATGGATGCCGATGTCAAAACCAGAATCGGAAATGCAACGTCGACCTTCATCCAGCTTAAATCAGTGTATAAATCTTCTGAATTCAACACAAACAAAAGAAAAATCTTTTACTTTTTTTCTACGGAGGTCAAAAACTTGATGCGCGCATCACAGGAAGCACTTCTAACGCGCTGTATACTTCCATGAACAGCTTCCTGCACTCCACACTAAGACCAAATGACGAGAAAGAATTAGTGACAAGAAACCATGAGGACAGGCATACGCCCAGTGTTCAACAACCATGTAGAAGAAATTGGAGGGGGATAAGTCTCACGCTGAGAAGACTTTCGAATGAAATTGCACATCACACACTAGCGTGAAATCCGGATGAGGGACGATGAGTGGGTCATAAATTTGACAGTGACAGAAGGGAGATAGTGCAGAGGGAAGATGAGAAACTATAGGCAATTGAGAGGTCAGTTAAAGAGGACCGCAGAAGGTAAGACAAAGTGGAGATGAACTATTGAATTTCTACGTTATACTCGAAACCCAAAGGAAGAATAGTAATGATTTAATAATAGGCTGTGCATTTTATTGCTTTGTTAAAAGCAAGGAATCTACGGTTACGCGATAAGCTGTTAATTGCAAGAGTCAGTAATGCTCGATTTGCAGAAATGAAAATCTTGGTAGGACGACCTTAAAAGATAAGTGGTTTGGCTGATGTGGAGATTTTCGACGTGAAAATACGAATTATAATTTTATAACTCAAACATTCGAAACGAAATGGATTGAAGAAAGAGGAGCTTTGATTTAAATGGTAAACCAGATCGGTCATTGTTTTGACTTTAAGAATAATTTACTCACCAGAAACGCTTCAATAAACATTCCTATTCCAGCGATGATAATAGCAACCTAAAATTGAAATGAACAGTCGAAGTAAGGACAGTGTGAACAGGACAAATTTGAATAAGAATCGAATGGAATGAAAGTTGAACTCACTTTTTTGGACGGAAAGTGACACTCTACGATGCATTTATTCGTGAAAGTATTCAGTAGTATGTTTCAATCATTTTGTTTTTATGTGCTTACGAGTTTCATTAGCGATGCAGTTGGCTGTAACACTCAACTCTCCCTCAATTCTGGACTAAGTGATGGCTGTTAAACTATGCGAGGGATAATGCCTCGACGAGGAATTCAAATATATCAGAGGCAAATACACAGTGGCAACAAAATAGTTAATAACCTACTGTCCACCAAAAATGCAGAACCAGGTTGCACTGGACAGCAGCTTCGTTCTCCTCAGCAGTACAGGTCCGTGTGCATTCAAACTCAGGATTTTCCTGTTACAAAACAGCCTCATATACCATTCAGTCACTGGTAGCGGATAAAATGTAGCATTAATTCCATTTTCTACCAGTTGCGATATATACAGTGCAACCAGCATCCACTTTTATCGGTTAGTAGCTATTGTCATTCCTGACTTGGTGGACGTCTTTGGTCACTAACTCTAGAAGGACGTTGGAATTCATGAGTCATCAAAGCCGACCCCATTGGCTGAGTGGTCTGCGAGCTCGCTTCGCAACTGCAAGTTCTTTGGTTCGAATCCAAGCAGGTGCGTACTACTGTAGAGTCCAAAACTAAGACGAACCAATTATACAGTACTCCTTGAGCTTCCGTTGTTGCTAGAACTAATGTCAGCTATTGGTGAAGCCTGTGAACCAAAACTTGAAAATATGCAGACGTATACCTAGATGGATTGGATATTCGCTGAAGAGACGTTCAAATTGTACTCTGCTAAAATCTGTTCAATGTAAACCGAATGAGAAACACCGAGTTAGGTGTCGGTCTGACAGTGACTCGGAGAAGATCATCAGAAGCCATTATGATTGCTTGTGCACTTTCCTAAATTCCGCTGAAAGTGATAACAGAGAAGTGAGTGGAATGCAGATGAGCTTGTGAAGTCATATGTTTCACTCGAATCTCAAGGAACCAATAATTGTAATAATACGTCTGACTTTGTTTCCTGAGCTAGTAATTTATTGCTTATATAAAATAACGAAATAGTTGACTGTAATTCCTAATGTTATTCTTGTTTGTTTGGAAAAATAAATCTTGTTTTCTCAGTCAGTCATCTGTTTCTTCTCAGTGTGGGGAATGATACTCCCTTCTATCAGTAGCATGTTGATGTCTAGTGCTAAAGTCTCAGTTACAACACTTTAGGCACGTGTATTATTGTTGTGTTGAAGTAGCTGTATAACGAGTCCACAATCCCAGTAACATTGAAGTTACACCAGAAATAGTAAACATAAATTTCATCCATTAATTATTTAGTACTCCAGTACTCCTTAGTGGTTTACAGTGGTTGGCTAACTGTTATTAATCCGTGATTAAACCTCAAATTACAGGATACATAAAAAATTGACAATATGTTAACATACCATGACTTTTTTGAAAGCAATTAGTACCCACATGGCAATGCCTGTCAGAACAAAAATCACAACACACACTAACAGGAAGGCGTTGAATTTCTTAATCAAATCTTTCTTTATCACTGCCCCTAAAAATACTCCACATGCACATATGACAACAGCTGCAACCCAACCCAGAATAACATCCACAAGTGTAGCACTGGTAAAGAAAATGGACAGACAAATAGAGCAACATATTCCCTGGAGTTGAAAAGTGAAAGAAAAAAATTAGACACAGAGTCATTTTATTTATAACAATTTTGATTTCATATTCGCCTCAAAAATAGCTAAATAACAATCGAAATGTATTTGTTAAGGGCGTTTACTATTCATTTCTTCAAAGTGTAACTTCATTACTAGTCTGCAGATGCTACCTACTACATGGTTGTAGGACCTTATATTTTGAGGGACGAAACTACTTATTAATTAAATATGATGCTGTCATCATTGGAGCCAGATGCAATCGACCATGAATTCAAACCTCCGACAGTTTGCGATATATGGCGCAACTGTCAGCCAATGTCCTGTTCTGAACAAAGTGATTATATAGTCCAATCACGATGAAGCAACTACTTCACCTTCCCCTCCTTCCACACTTTTTTCAGTAGTGTAGTGAACGTACCTGCTGAGCTATCTGCTTCCGTTTTGAGTGCTTCTTTGGGCATTCTATCTAGTCCTGCTACTTTACTGGGTATTTAGTAACTTTCTGGCTTTAATCATTAAGCTGTGAAATATCATCTTCGTTCACTTACCCATTTTTTTCTGACCTATGAATCACCTTCTTCAGTCAGAAGACATTTCATGGATATATCGAAATTAAATTGCCCCTCTGACTCTGATTCACCTTAATACGCGTTTGCAAAACTAGTTACCCCTTACACCCAGATACTTCCTGGCAGTAACATCCATACACTTTCGAAACACATCTCACAATACTATCCAGTGTGTCTATATAAGATCACTGCATGTCAAACACTAGTTCAGTTCTTCAGTATCTGAGAAATCCCCGGTCATCCAGCTTCATTGTGGTCCTCCTAAAAATTTATCTGCATAAATTGCAGATTAATTGTTGTGAAAGATGTTAGGCTCTGACAGATTTGAACTTACACCTTCAATCTCATGAATGGTGCTCATCAAACGTCTCGTTTTAATGGTAACTCAGTATCGTTTACATTTGCTTAAGGGAATAAACATGAAGAAGTTATGTATCGAAAATACCGATTGACTCACATAAATGAGAAGAGTAATTAAAGCAGTAATCAGTTTTTCTCTGAAATATGTAGAAATTACGATAAGATATCCACTGGCTATGGCTAACACGCTGAACAGAAATAAAAGTTTGTGAAGTGAAACAATAATTTTTAATGAAACTTTATTGATACATTGAAAATCAAAAGTTTCATTTCCAGCCTATCATTATCTACTTGTCCACATGTTACTTGGCTAAACATATTTCCCTAGTATGCTTATTTATTTCCCACACTTCGAATAAACTATAATTATCTCCTCTTCTGTAGCAGAGTGTTTTAGAACGGTTTGATCTCAGAACAGCATTACTTGGTGAAGAATTAAACCGCACTCGGTATTTTACAGCTCTGTAGTGCCTCTCAGGTAACAGTTTTTTGAACAAACTCCTTCCAAGCCTAGACATCAGAACGTTTTACTGAGGCTGCTACAGATTTTCGATTGATAATAATAATTTGCTTTATTCCAAAACAGTACATGTGATACAGAATGGAATTCTCAGCATTTTTACTACAGTATTGCATCCAGTTAGTACATTATCAATAAATAGAATTCTACATAGATTAAGGAAATATCAGTTCATTATGACAACAACATATTGGCATGTCGGTAGCAAAGGTAAAGCTGAACAGTGTTTGAAGGTGTTAGAAAAGTAGGAGCTGTCATATTTACTGGCGTAAGCGAGAGAAAGAAACAAAGCAGCACATAACGGAAAAAGAGACAGAGAGAGAAAAGGAGAAGAGAGAAAGAAAATGTTGTACCTATAAATGATATGAGTTGGAAAGACTAGATCCAGTTGTACTACTGACTATTTAATGATCTATAGGTGTCACGCCTAATGCTTTCTTTATCACATCAAACACGAGCTAAGTAGGGTATGGTTGAGTTTTTGTACTTGCTGGTGCGAGCATATAGTTTTCTATATAGGCTTTTGGTCTTACCTGATGAGATGCAAGGGGAGAGTTGTGAGTGAAGAGGGTGGTGTGAGTTAGATAAAATGGATTTGGCCCATTTTTCACATGAGTCCAAGTGCTTGTCGACCAGAATATTAACAAGCTGGTTAAGTGGCACGTTGCTTACCCTGCTGACAACCTTTAACATCCTGCGTAATATGTTATAGTCTTTCTTCAGTAGCCCGGGAAAAACTAAGGGGGAACAATAGAGAATAATAGGCAGAATGCGAGAGTTAACGAATTGTAGGAGTAAGGGTTGGGTTATACCAGAATGTTTTAACTTCTTGATGTAGAAGGTAAGACGGAATATTTTCTTAGAAATTGCTAAGATATGATACGAACAGGAGAGATCAGCAGATAGAATGACGCCTAGGTATTTAATTTCCGATTTGGTTTCTATTTCAGTGCCGTCTATGTTGCATACCTCGTGAGAGCCAACCAGTTTGTTTAGGTCGGATTTATGCCTAAAGGTGAAATTGACTGTTTGGCATTTGAAGGGGTTTAGGGTAAGACCGTTTTCCTTGGACCACTGGCTGATTTCTGACAGAAAGCCATTAAGTTTAGAACAGTCGCTTTGACATTTGACAGGCAAAGATACTGTCAGGTCGTCAGAATATTTGACAAAATTAATATCATTTGAAGATGGTAAGTCATGTAGAAAGAAAGAAAAGAGAAGTGGGGAGAGTACAGCACCTTGGGGGACACCAGCTTCAGTGAGTACAGCAGAGGATGATTTGCCTTTGTATACGGTGTACTGCTTTCTGTTAGAGAAGTAGGAATGCAGCCAGTTAGTGACCCAGGACTCAGTTTTTGTCAAAGAGAGCTTATTTAGCAGGAGACATCTAGGTACAGAGTCGAAAGCAGAAGTGAAGTCGAGAAACGTGCAGCGGACGTATTTGGCACCTTTATCTAATGATGAGAGGATGTTGTTGTGTAAGACGGCTGCAGCGTCTAAAGTGCTCCTACCCTGTCTATAGGCAAATTGTTTGGGGTCTTCAAAGCTTTTAAGGGAGGGTTCAAGTTTAAGAAGTATTAGTATTGATATTAAATGCAACACATTCAACCGAATAATGAGGCATAAAATCAGTTATTTATTATCTGAAACCGCAGACGGAACCTGATGTTGTTACGCATCTCTGTAGCTGTCAGCAATTCTCCTACGGAAATAATCACTCGAAATACACAAGAATATAAGGTGGCTTCATTGTTAATTTGAGGTAATAGTATTGCCCTTTTAACTAAATAGTAACAATGACTAGTATGAATAAACAATTTTTTACAAATGAAAAATACGTCCACAATGAACAGAATACTGAAGCTGAATTAAACTTACCAAAATACCATAGTCATTATAAAGTGAACAACCGGATTCAAGTCGTACGACCCACTTTAATCTAACATACACAAGAGAATGATGAATACTTACAAGAAGTGTGGGGCTATAACGATGATTATTGCAATTATAATGAGTATGATAGAGAACACAATCACCTATGAGGGTTACACAATCAACCAACAATGACATGAGACGACCTACACGTTTGTCATATTTCGAAATGTTGACGAAATTTTTCTGTATTTTCTGATCACAGTTTATCACAAATGACTCTTCATTTGTTGCATATAAAGTCTCCTCAGATTTACGGAAAGATGATTTATTTGAGTCGTTGTCAGTTAGTACCATCCTGAAAGAAAGATGAACCTGATTTGAAATTTAAATAGAAAATAGGATGATTACTGCTGTTCGGTGTGTAGAATGATTCGAAAGCATTTGAATAATGTGATATTAATAGGTCTGATTTGTGTTCTGTTTTTGATATGTATGTGATATAGGGATGGCTGAGCACTCAACATTCAGCCAATTGCTGTTGAGATTGTATTTCAGCTCGCTAAATTCAGTGTGCAGTAACATCGGCTCTCAAACGGTACGTGAGCATCTGGAAAATTTCATTATCACTAGGTGAGGAAGTGAGTATATATGATTTAAGCTATTTGAAAAATTTCTGCATACTTTTAAACGTCATTTTATTTTGAATATAACTCATTCAATAGGCGTCATTCAATTTTACTCAATGGAACTGACAGATTTTTTGACTGAATCCAACTGATTTCTGATGTTTCAACACGCTAACTGTTTCGCATAATTTGGAAAAGAATTCTCACTTCCTTATAATCATATATAAAACGATATCTTTGTATCTGCAACTCCACTGATATTCGATATTGAACGATCAGATAATGCATTCACAAACGATTAAACAATGCCTACACTGCAGGACTCATTGCCTAACTTATTGGAACAACTAACATCAATCCAGTGACCAACGTGTTGATCTGTGCATTCTAAACGTGGTGAAAAAACGCAGTTAGTCCATGGTTCAGTGTAACAATCAATACATACCGTACTTCAAAAGAAAATTATTGTGAAATAATTCAGATCAGATAGCCACCTAGTTCATTATTCACTGTCTATTTATATGTAAAATAAGAGTAGAAATGGTTATGTGAATGTGATTTTAAAACTCAAAGTCCACAGAATTTTTGACAAAATGTAAGTGTTTTCCAAAAATGTAGTAACACAGTACTCCACTACTCTAGATTGTACTATTCGTATAATAATTTAATATTAAACAGACATCTTGAACTGATTATATTTTGATCATGGAGAAATGAGTTCAAATATTCTCAACTTTGATACACTGGAGGTAATTTTAAACAGTAAAACAGGTTATGAAATATACGAAATCATTCATGAGAAGAATAAATCTTAGAAGGAGGTGTAAAACTGACAGGACTAATAGATAAATGAAGCATCATCTGACAAACTCTGAATTTGGATAAGTCAGTTCAAAATAGGAAGAGATGAGACAATCGAAGAAACTGTTTAAGGCGAATAAAGAAATGACAACACTAGCAGATTGAATGAACATTGATTCAAGATAAAATTCATATTTAAACCAGATAAAATGATTACATTCCGATGAAATCCTTAAGATCCACAAACCATCAGAAATGTCCAAGGAGTAACTTTGCTACAAATCAACCCCAAAAACTTATTACGTTGGTGAACAACATTGTCTCATGGTTCCAATAGATTCCGCTTTACAACAAATCTTATGTGATCATTCTTCAGTTAATGTTAGTCGGTGGCACAGCGGTTAGGACGCTCGCCGACCATGCACATTGTCCAGGGTTCGATCCTCGGCCGACGAACACCAGATATCAGTGGTCGGCCTGCAAAATTTGGGCTACCGATTTCACATCCTGGAATTTCCATACTTGTATCAGAAATATTAGGTTCCTATGACCATATGTTATTTGCTTCTTCTGTGTTAATCACTTCCTGGATAGAGACTTTGTTGTCTGATATAATGTCCTGAGGTCTCATTTACCTGCATCCTATTCTTCTACAAATACCACTGTGTCGTAGAATTGCATTTTGTCTCTCCTGGCACTCTTCTTCACTTCGTCATTCACCATCGGTGTGCATGGAACTCAGCGTCACCTTCTGTAGTCAATTTCTGTTATGACTAATCTTCTGTTTCACCATCCTCCTCTCCTCGATCAGCTTCCAGGTAGGTGTCCGTTGAGATCCATTACTTGTCTTTACTCTCTTTTCTTCCTAAAATGGTTGTACACATTTCCTTGAACATCAACGTCAGAGTTCTGATGGTCTACAAAAATGGTTTCCTCATTGATGCTATGTAACGTATCTTGCCTTGTCCTAATGGCTGCATTGATGGTGTTCTTTATTGTCGGATTCCTCAATTTACAGATGTTGAACTAGACACCTGCATGTCTTTGTGCTTGTACATGTTACCTCTGATCAAAAGATGCTTAGATACAGTCTGCGATTTGTTCTTTACTCTCATTCTTTTCCCTGAGAGCCTGTCAACACATGATGAATTCCTTCGTTGTACTGTATGCCCCCAGCTTAGTGTTCATATTGCCCACCAGGATTTTGATGTTGCTATTTCGGATGTGATCCATTGCTGTTTGCAGTTGTCTCTAAAAATCCTCCTTCTTCTCTTCTTCCGAGCGGATTTTATGCAAATAGCATTGGATAATTGTAACCTTTCTCACTTTTGACTTGAATCTTGCTGTCATTATCCTAAATCAAATTGGTTCCTACTCCGTTAGAGCTTTGGCTGCTATTGGTGACATCATGATAGGCACTCCCTCGGTGTGCTTTTGGTTGTCATCTGGATGACCAGATTAAATTACTGACTGCCCAGTAGACAGCTTGGCTGGTCCATATCATTTCACTTGTACTCACAGATTCCTGGCACTTCCATGGTGTATCTTTTCATTTCCCAGCTTCGTACGTTGTACGAACATTCTATGTCCTAGTTATTATCTTTGCTACAATCTAGAGAAGACACACCGGCTGACTGACTTTCCGAAGTCTTTCATCTCTCCACATCATTTCGTCTCTCTGATTCCAGCAAAGACCAATTTTGTTTTTTATATTTTTCTTGTGCCTAGAAATTTCAGGAAGAATTGGATTGCTTTTTTAGGGTAAGATTGGTAATTTCGCGCACTAATTTTCCTCTTTCCCAGGGTTTGGGGCCGGCTGGAAAATCAGTAGGCTATTAAACTAAGCGAGGTTTCTGTACATCCATTACTGATCAAAATTAGAAGGTGAAAATTTCTGAACTAATTTTGTTTTCAGTCACTATAGTCTCAGACATACTACAATCGCTACTATTACTGTCAGTAGCACAGACCTTCATCTTACAAATAATCACTGCAGTTTTAATACGTCGTTTTGAATAATTAGGGATAATTTATTGCTGCGATTTAAACTAGCGGAATGCAATCAAGTCGAATTGACACGCTACTACAGTTAATGAAGATTCCAGTAATGATCCGTTCCCGTCGACACATTTGAAAATAATAACAAAATGAGTGAAGAAACATATTCCTCTTCAATTATTTCCTCATCAAAAGCTCCACATGTGTACAGTTTCAGTCGTACATCAAAATAATGCCAATCTTTCAGTGATGTGTTAGTCAATAAGTATTATTAGTTTTGAGATTTATTAGGAATTAAGATAACTGGAGGACGGAAGATCATTTCGTCTGTAGATTTGAACAATAGGTCATTACACAACGTGTAAGACAATGACAACTGTGAACAATGAAGAGGTGAGATACGTCAGATTAGGTCCACTGAATCAGATAAAATAATAGTCATAATAAAATAACAGAAATACAAAATAAAAATGTCAAATGATATTCACAAAGACTGGAGGAAGTCGCTTACGAGCATCTATATACATATATATATATATTATGTCGGCGGACAGAATAAAAACGACAACTGTAATAAGTTCCTCTGAACAAGCAGATTTAGCTTACTGAGACGAATCCCAAACGCCTCTACTGTATGCAGGGAACAGATTTTCAACACATGTATGGAGTACGAAAAATAAATGGAAGATATGAGATAATATTGAGCTACGTGAAGTTGTATAATCAAGATGAGTAGTGTACAGTCATACGCTGATGAGCTTGTCTAATCGTACCCACAATATAACTACTCCTACAACAGTACTTAAACGGATAGATACACATGGAATAGACGGAATTATGCAGTATGTGTTCATTTTATGATATAAGTAAGCTTAGTTTGAGTAGCGAATGAACAGCACGACATGCCTGCGTTAATAGTCATTTCGAAGGCTCTACCTAGATGTGACACATTTTATTGTTGACACCTCCCAGTCTTAAGAGTACTGATATTTTCTGAATTGTAGGTATGTTGCTTGCCGAAACCATGTTTCTATTCAAAATTTTCGTCGGATATCGGTTTCTACTTAGGGGATCGTAAACACTGCAGAGTTATTCGTTGGTTGTTTCTTCTGAATAAATAAATGTCACAGGATAAAATAATCATTTAGCAGAAGAGAATTAACAGCACGAAACTGAGAAAGTGAATTAATTGCTCATTATTCATATAATCTACTATGCGCATCAGCAGAACATTGTTGAACAATCATGACACATTCAAGTATATCACGAAATTACTGTTTCTTAAAGTCTCTAATTTCGTCATTCCGTTTTCCAATCTCTTGAATTATATCTGTTAAATTAGAAGATATATTCTGACATAATATAACTTCATAATCTCTTTACGTCCACTTTACAAACAAAATCATCCAAAATATTGCGATACAATCTTAAGTAATTAATCAATTACATAAAAAGTGAAAGTACATATTTATGACCAAGTGTTTTTTAGTAGGTCAAGTAATCTATAGTAGGCAAAGGTGGAAATCTACTGACTTCTGTATTCATAGTTTGGGGTGCACGTGATTCAGTGCTTCCATCATCTTTGAATACCTTGAGCTAAAGTTGTGTGTAGTAATTGAGTGCTGAGTGCTGTTGATCTCCACACAGACTTGAGAGTAATGAAAGCTTGCCTTGCTTTCCAGATTCTCGCTTTGATATCCTCACCGGTTCCACCTGTAGTTGAAACTATGCTTCTCAGGTCGGTAGGTAAAGGAGGTTGCTTCTTTCAGATTTCTTCCACCAATGTTGATTGTTTTCTGTTGTTGTTGTTGCTGTTGCTGCCTCTGTCGGCCAGGAATATTCATCACCACATCTGTTTTCTCTATGTTCACCTAAAGCCTTCCTATCTATGATGCTTCTTCTGCCGACTTGTTGCTTTTCACTTGCATA